TCAAAGTTCACTTTAGTCAGCAATGAGTGCATTGCCTCACGAAACTATTTTCCCTTGTTTTGTTAATTTAAGAATTTTCGAGCTCAAACGCGCTTGCAAGCAGCAGCTGCTACTTTCGTTTTAAAACGGAGCTGTTAAAAGCGATACAACGACAAGAAATATAAATGTCCTAAAACTCGCTTAGTTTTTGTTTGTGTTCTTTTTTTATTCCCGGTATTTCGTGCTTATATTGTAGACATTTCAGCCAACAAATCACGCATTTTCTCCGGCGCAGAACAGAACCTCTCACGTGCAAATATATTTGTAGAGTGACAACTGAAATATAACTTTTTGTCCAAACCTGCTTTGCATCCTCGTCAAAAGACTATTTTCGAAGTCTCATCGAGCAACATTGGCGGTCGCATTTTTTCGGCACGAGACTTGTGATTGGATACAAGTCCTCGCTGAACGCTGACGCAGCCCTTGTGTACAGCACACGCTCAGGTACGTGATGAAAGAATTGAGAAATCCAGTACTTAATGTAGTGGCCACAATAGATGAAGCGTGATTTTCAAGAAGGTCCATGGACGAGTTAGTTGTGAGAAAGAGCGGTCCTACGGGAAGATTTGCCTCACCATGTGCTCTAGGGCTGGCTTGTATATCATACCAATGCAACGTCACGAAGAACGTTACAAAAAGTCGTTACACGACCGCCAGATTTAGCGCAACTCCGAGCTTAGAAAAGCTGCTCGTAACCAAACACCCCTTCCACCTCAAAAGCAGAATTTTATGATCCTAAATGTTGTCCGTATATTTTGAGGGATACGAGTCAACTTTCTATTTTGTTTTAGTGTAATCGAGCAGTTTTAGAAAAGTACCTAATTGAATTTTTATAACAGGATGCAAACGAATAGGATCAATGGTAGGGGAATTTCGAACAGCAATTAAACTCCTATCAAAAGTACTCGGCAGCCCTTCTCACGATTATTAAACTTTCCTTTATTTTACTTATAAATCTGTTTCCTTTTCACTGAAGGGCGGAAGGGACTATAAAGCGTGATGCCTGACAATATCTCTGCGCTCGTAGCAGTGGCAGCACAAAAAAACATTACAAAATGTCTAGCAAAAAAAAAAGAAAAAAAAAGAGAACGCACCAGAAACAAATATAAGGAAGATGTAAACTACATTAGCTTCTCAATAAAGCATAAAAGAAAATAACAATTGTTTTTAACATTAGATTGATCTAGTCGAATATGAAAATAATATATACAGGCTGTTCACGTCGTCATAGGTGTCGATCGCGCACCCACCAAGACACTCTGCCGAGATTGTGACGACATGATTGGAACTACATTACTCTTCCAAGCGTTATTGAGGGAAGGACTTGCGTGGTTTTTTTTAGTGCAATTTTTAAATTAGACTATATAAAACGTAAAAGTTCATCAATGAATATAAATCAATATCTGCAATTGCGACATGATCCATCAAGCCCCCAATTAGAAGCGTCAAGTAACAATTTTAGTTAATTATCCTACTTATCCTGATAATTATCCCCCATATTTTGCCCATTGAGCCTGACCAAACCATGATGAAATTGGCTCTCGCGTAACTCCTCTCCTATTTGTTTTTAATTTATTCGAGTTAAAATCGACCACCCTCCATCGGAAACCACTAAAGAACACGTGGAACCATGTTGATCAAGTATACGTGTGACTCGTGCCAAGAAGGATATCAGAAAACAACGTCAACGCCCACCAGAAACGCCTTGTTTTTTTTTTTGTTTTTTTTTTTTTTACATGCGATTAAAGTGCAGTCAAAGTAGATTTGACCATCAATTACGTTAGGGCATTTTGAGACGAAACTTTTATTTTGTCTGGTTACCATAATTTGTGTGTATTCTGGCAAGTCATCTGATTCTGTATTTGAATAGTATAATTATTTATATTATCTGGAATCTAGATGAATCACAAAGCGCTTTCTGCTGTTTATTATTTTAGTAACATATAATATTAGATAGTATTGGTCTTTACTCGGCCCTATTTGCTGACAAATTTGTCACTGGGAAGATTCTGTGCACCTATTATGATGACACCGCTGTCGCATTACTTTGCAGGTGTGAAAACAATTTACGTAATTTTCTTAACGTCTAGTTGTAATTGTTAATTTGAAGCCCAATCACAAGATGGGTGAGATGTACCTATTTGTCATAGATTCTGAAGAAACTTTAGAAGTTAAAAAAAAAAAAAAACTTACGTTGGGTATGATTCGCGTACATGATGTCACAACATAATAAAAAAAAGGCGTAAAAAGCTACGAATTGATATATACCCACCTCTACATAGGAGCAGGGGCGGATTTAGAGGGGGTCCGGATGTCCTGACTCCCCTCTTGATTTTTGCGTGTGTAAAATTTAGGGCGTAAAATGAAGGAGTGGGGGAGGGGGTTCCTAAACATATGGTACGCTGACCAACACCTGACCCCCCCCCCTTCAGGAAATTCCTGCATCCGCCCATGCATAGGAGCATATATGTTTGGGAATCCATCAAATCACACTAAAGTCCGCAAAAAAACAAACATTTTCAGTACTTGAATAAGACTCGTAATATTAAAACAAAATAAAGTTTTATCTGTAAAGAAAAAATTAGTGGAATATTTACTTGGTGAGACAAACTGTTTCGGACCAATTCAGTGGCAGACAGCTATTTTAAGACGTCGAACCCCTATATAGAACTGTGTTTTAAAAATGCTACTTGGACACTGAACTCTTAAAAAATTAAGTACCTGGATGGGAAACTTATTTCAAAATATAATATAGATATTCTATAAAAAAAATTTAAGTGCAATGGTTACATCGAAGAACTGATTTTTTGTTAGGATAGATTCCTAAATATGCTTCGATTTCGAGCCCTTGACCATGGAATAGAGCGTATTTGGGTTTCAGATTCGCTCAGATATTCTTCGCGAGACTAATAATTTTTAATGGGTGTGTGTGGTAGTCTTTTGTTTTTTTATTCAAGCACCTAACAATATTCTTAGGGAGTTAAGTGTACCTATAACAGTCTGAGAGCATAACACATATGGGTTAACAAAAAACAAATAACGCAGAATACTGACATGAATTAGTAAAACGAATTTTATATTTCATATTTTGAAGACTAAGGTTTTTAGAGGTAGAAATAATTAATGCTGCAAGGCATTAAGTCACTCGGCGATTACAACATCGGGAACAATACGCAGGCTTGCGTAAGATAATATTTCAAAGATGACACTACCACATTTGTTTCTGATTTGTCGGAAATACGTTTGTAGAGGATATGTGGCTAGCAAACATTTCACAGGCGAAACTACATAGCAACCGTACTCAAATAGCCTTGAGAAAGGGTAGACTTGATTCTCGTCGGTCTCAAGTAAAAATATTTGCGGAGCTTTGCACACGCTAGTTCACAGGTGCGGCAACGAAAACACTGACCGTAGTGTTTCGATTCTTTTCTCGATTTAGAAATGTCAGCACAACACTTAAGTAAAAACACAATACACACTTCGCACCGCCTGTGTGTTTACCCTCCCTGGCTGCTATAAAGAGAGACAGCCAGAATGCTGAGTTCATGTAGACACAAGCAAAGAAACACAGTAAGTAGAAACTAAGATGTCTTGATATTTTCTCCAACTGCTTGAATTTTTGTGCTGCTCGGTCACTAATTGGCCATTGTAGAGAGCCCAGGTAGAAAAAAGGCTCAATCTCAAACCACAGGGAATGTTTGCAATTTAATGGCGGACTCCTCTTGCGGCGATCGGTCGCAATTGCGCATGCGCTGCATTTTGGCGAGGCGAGGAGGAAAGCAGAAGGAAAGGCAGAGACGTTTGCAGACGATCAACGCTTCTGTCACGTCCTGGCGGCTCGTATTGCTAATGCGACCCATAAACCACGTGAACATAATCGATCAGTTGGAAACTCTCTGTAATCCAGGCTCTCTAAGCGACGCCTTCGAAATCGACGGCACCTATCGGCTACAGCAGAAAGCGGTGGCGGCCGGTTGGCCGTCCAGCAATCTCGAGCGTAGCAGATATTCACAGCGTCTGGTAATCAAAAGACGAAGCATCGAAAGTAGGTTCAGAAACACGCGATGAAATTGGCCAATGCTCCCTCCAAAGCCTGAACTTCATAAAGAGAATGTTCTACGAAAAACCGAGGAACTTGGCCTCGCGTCGCGTTCATATGGCGCGGGGCGCAGGAGCCACCCTCCTTATGCCACGCGCAGAGCGAAAACCGCCGGGCGGGATTCGTTTATTTTTCGCTCTATGGAGACAAGCCTGAAGGAAATTATTCTCAGCAGTGGCAAAGGCGCGAGGTGCGATCGTGACGTTTTCGAAAGGGCATTGCATTCGCGAGGGCTTGCACATACGAAAGCGCTGTGTAGTACCATCCTCTTGCGCCCTTGCGCACTGAAGACGACTTCTGTGATAAAGCAATGAAACGCTTCCTTGACAAACAAAACAAACATAAATATTTTCTAATAAATTATCTAGCGAGGTTACTAGTCTAGTTTGACTGACTCAAATTTTTATAAAATATCTGTCTGGCATTTAAAATCGAAGTTTCCAAGCGAACGAATGCGCGATAGATTTAAAGCAGCAGAAATTTGCTTCCAAAATGTCTAGAATTTTTATACTTTTTCCACCTGTTTAAATATGTCATTGTTGTGTTTAGATTTTATTCACCAGTACAAGCTTAAAACGCAAGTATTCAATACTGCAAAAAACCCTCGCTGCTTAAGTACTTTAGAACACCTCTTTGTATCTAAAACAAATATGGTAGCGATATTCAAATTTTCAAAGTAGACTAAGAGAAATTTCTGCCTAGATATCGAGAGAGATGTTATGTTACAACTTTGAAATAAGAGGTTTTCTAATCAATGTTAATATGTACTACCAGGATGGAGGTATTTTGTTTCGCCGTGTCTTGATATTTTGTTATTTTTTTCAGGACGACGAACTCGTGAAGATTTTCACGTATTGACGTAATGATAATTTTGATGTCTATCTTTATGGTCATTATGGGTCTTGCGACGTTTCTTCATGGTAAACCAAAATCGAATTCTTTTGGAGTTCTTGACCGTCCGGTTTCTCTAGCACTGGAGATACAACGCCAGTGGTTCTAGATTGAGGCACTGGTGTTGTTTACTCTTAATTGAGGTCTAATAAATAGCTTTCGGGAAGAGTGAAGTCAGGGTATTCAGAAAATGTATCTAGTTTAGGAAGTGTTAAATAAACGCCTGAGCTTCCCGGTAGGCTGTCGCGATTCCTAATTGAAATGCCGCTGCGGCTTTCCTTGTCCGGCCGTAGAAAGTTCAACAATGTCCCTCTTTGTTTTCTCTCAGACATGTTTCTTATTTTATGATCAGCTCATTGCACCACAGAAAAGTGATATCCTCAGGCGTTTGAATTTTCTTAACTGGCTGCCACAGCTGATATTCTTACATCTGTACTAGACTTGAGCAATTTACACACGTGGACATATTTCTACATTTGAGCTTGTCAGCACTTTATCAGTGAATTTCTTTGCTGTAAAACCGAAAATAGCGATATCTGGACGTGACTAGTGAGCAGTCATGTTTACGTACACTGTAAAAAATGGACCGTAATATTTACGGTCAAATACCAGGCAGCTGATGCTGCCAACTTGTACAGTAAAACTAACGCTGCACTGTAAATCTGGTTTACGATAAATTTGAACGGGGACCGTAGAAATCTACGGTCGGCCTTCAAATTTACGGTAAAAAGATTTACAGCGCGCCGTTATTTTTACGGTGCAATTTAAACGGCGACCGTAGATTTCTACGGTCACCATTTAAATTTCTCGTAAACCAGATTTACAGTGCACCGTTATTTTTACTGCTTAATTTTGCCAGCATCAGCTGCCTGGTATCTGACCGTAAATTTTACGGTCCATTTTTATGCGACCGTAAAGTGTTGAAAACTATGGTACTGGACCACACCATTATAGTCATTTAAACAAAGTAAAACATACAACGTAAAAACAAGGTCGGCCGAGTATTTTGGGGCTGTTGTGTTGCACTGTTCAACTGACTTTAATCGCGCATATCTAAAGTGAATAAGCAGTTATGCACAAAAAATTTTGTCTGCGGCGAGGTCGGCTGCTCTTGCAGCACCCGATGCATTAATATTCGTGACCGTGCTGTCAAAGAAAAGTAAAAAAGTGTTATATCTATCTGCATTTCCATTTATATTCCGACATGTCAATTAACTCCAGAACCTTTTTGTTTACGTATGTTTTCTTGTTTTTTATTCGGGTTCCTCGATCAGGGTTGATCCCAACGACATATGTAAGAACAGATATACGAAGTAGTTTTTTTTTTTTTTACAATTTCAGCTTAGAATACCCGTTAAAAAATAATGAGGCAATAAATACCTAAATTGGACAGTGACTAAAGCTTTTGAAACACTGATCTTTTGAATATGCCTAAGTAGCCTGGAACTTAATCTTGCAAGTTAATAAAACTCCCTCATATGAACTTCTAAATCCACCCATAGACACTTTTTTTTTTACCAAACTCATACCAGGCTAAGAACCGAACAGCCGTTCACCGAATTACATATTTTGTTGACTTGTAAAATGCAAATAAAGAACGAAAGGGAATATCTGCCAGTTCTCAACTATAGTCGTTTATAAAGCAACACATTATAACATTTTGCAATTGTAACGAAGGTTGCTATATAGGGAACCGCATTCAAAACTGTATAATAGATCATTGCTTTTTTTTTCCTCGTTCTGCGCTAATAAATTACTCTCAAATTAGTTGTCTTTATGTTAAGCAACATGCCTATCTTGGAATATACACACTGCTATTATTATGTAACAACAATATTCAATCGAGCCACTTTTAACAAGACCTTTACATCTTCGGGATATTGAAAATGTTTAGTTCAGAATATATGTCTCCACTGGATCCAAAGCTGCAACAGCAGCCTTTGGAACTGATTTATATTTTTGTTCTGTAAAACTTAAAAGTGGAAATAAAAGCCTTGTTATTTTGAATAAACATTTTAGGTCTTTTTGAATGAAGACTAGTCGCCGTGGCGTCGTGAGGCAGGTACAGTCATTTCTTAGAGTATATAGCTCATCCTAAGTTATAACAGAGACAATGCTATGAAGGAAAAATTATATTTGAATATTTTTAACGAAAAGTACCACTCATTAAAATATTGTTTGGTAGCATGTATTCGCACACTACAAAATATATTTGAGTAAGCGAAGGACAGGGAACACGAAATAAAATTATCAGACTTGCTTTTTATTCTACAATATCTCACCATAGCATGCCTCTAGCATTGATAAGACCTCTCGCTGCACAAGTTTTCATGCAAGCAATGGACATTCTAAAACAAGGAGCTCAGTCTGGACCATTGCTGAAATATATGTTAGGTCAGATAAAGTATACAAAGGAACAAACAAAAAAACACACCGAATGATGCCAAGAAGTACAAATGAGCTCAATACCTTTGAATAAACTCCAAGGTGATGCAAATCTCTTCTGTATACGCAATGTTGAAAACGTAGTACGCGCTGAATAGTACAGCCAGTGCGTGGTCGAACATGTGAATTTCGTCCATCACAGTTATTCCATCAATTGAGATCGAGTACATGCTGCTGGCTGAGTAGATGCTTTTCCCTAGAAAAGAAAGGATAAAACAAAGGGCGTGAAGGCAGATATAAAATGTAGGAAATTGCAGAACTATAATTGTATCTTAAAATCATTATAAAATTATAGGCAATATTGATTACTTGGGGTTCGGAAAGTGGTCAGTGAATGCTCACCATGAACTAGAATGCATGGGGAGATGGGTGGTGCATCTTGAATCATGTCAGTTACAGACTGGCCTTACTGACAGGCACCATCGCAAAATTCCTCCAAAACACCGGCTAAGTGGGACTCGCTGCGAGGCTCGGCAAATACCTGGCCCATAGATTTGTATTCTAGGGGGTAATTTAGTGCCTCTTTAACGGGGACATGCGGAGCAAACCGGTCCTTTTGACCACAACTACGTCCTATGTACATACTCACCGTTTCCACACAAGGAAAGTGCTTTCTCAAATATGCAGATTTCATGTGTTCTGGAAGAAAGGTGGTAGATTTCAGGTTCGTAACATCATTGTATAATGATGTTATGAACTCAATGATTTTATGAACCTCGACTGAACCAGGCACGTTTTGAAGGCTTTCAGCAAGTTTGCCGAACAGGTATTGTTTGTACAAGAAATGCCGACGTTGAAATTCATAAATGTATTTTTGGACTGTTGATACCGGCATAAGAAGCGTTCCGTTGAACTTCAGGCACAAAAAAAAAAAAACAAAAAAAAAACAAGGTGGTATTTTACGGCCGTTTCTTTTTTTTCTTCTGCAGACAGAGACATTAACACGTCGTAGTTATCATCAGGGGATTGCATCACGTTAACAGAGCCGTCTTTATTAGAATCCGCACTAGTCGACTGAGTCGAAGACTCCTCAACCTGAAGCGGGTCTACAGGCAATGCGCCGTCGCCCAAGAAACCCGTCACTCGTAAATGCGCCCAGTTCAAATGTGCCGTGAACTATGATTTCACACGTTCTGACAGTTGGAGCATGAACACGAAACCAAAATACCGTCGGTGATGTGGCCTTTTGATGTTTTAGCAATGCCTCCCGTGTGTGGCACTCCTCTAAGCATGCTGGCGAAGTACACTGAAAGCTTTTTAAACTCCTCGAAGCAAACCGAACATACCCTTAGGCGTTCAAACGCCTATGTCTTCTCAAAATATGACACCTGAGAGCATCATACGTGACAAACTAGCGACAGCATCCTTCGTCCACACACGGAAGAATTCGAGAGCTGAAAACGTGCTCATCGAATTGCGCAACCAGCAAGCGTGCTTGAACAGAAACTGCAAATTCTGCAAGTAAACATCTTTTAGGGTGTTGTATTTATGACACCGTTACACTATCCTTGCCAAGCAAGCAGCAGATTGATAATGAAATACCTGTCTCGAGTATCCAGTTGCCTTCCGCTCCAAATTTTCAGGTGCACAAAAATCCGGGAATGCCACGAACGAACGAGGACAAAATGGCGAGGAGACGGGCGGGAAGGCGGGAAAATGAATCGAACGTTCGCTTCTTCCACTTCTTCCCGCGTTGTCCCAACCAACGTAGCTTTCTTTTGTCGACGCTTCTAGCTCGTCGCATTGTTGCTCTACTCTGTTTGCTCTTAGATATATATATATTTTTTTTTTTGTAATTAAGGCAGTTACGTTTTGCGTTGGCGCGGACAAAGAAAAGAGGTGAAGGGGCGAGAGGAGGCTCCCTGGGTTCCCGCAGCTTCCGAAGGTCAAGCGTGGTGACCAATTAGCGATGCGCGTCTTTTCTTTCTGTTTTCGTGCTCCATGAAGTTTCGCGTATCCCTCTCGCTCTTTTTTGCTCGTTTACGGTGAATTTGAGGTAATTCCTCTTCACGGCGTTCTTGCAGTTTTTATTAGCGTTAGACCGACACGTGGAGCGGCTCTGTTTACCAACACGGCCGGAAGGCCGCGCATGCGCGGTAGCTATGTGGGCAAAAGCACCCGGCTCTCCGTGTTTTCGCCATTGCGTTCTATGGCGTGCGCTCGTTGTTGACGTTGTAGGGACGCTTGTATCTTTATTTGTGCGTCGTATTTCCTCACAAGCTATGTCGTATGCTATGAACGACTATTTGAGCTCGTGGCCCGAGCCTGAACGGCAGCGGTATCGAAACAAACTGTGCGTGGACGGCGTTGCCTACGAGGATCCGTACGCCGCAAAACAAGGCCTGCTGGACTTCCCACGTAAAGTTGCTGCCACGGAAGCCGACGGCTCACGTCGTCGTATATTTAGTTCTTTCGCCAAGCCAGTTCACGGCCGACACGGTGCAGGCGTACAAGTCTCTCGAGGTCTACGATTACTTCGAGTCGGTTTCCGCACTGCCGGCGGGATCAGCAGACTCTGGTGCTGCGGAAGTGTGTGTATTCATTAATTTATTAAAAACACACAGCGTCTTCAAGTCAAGGTATG